AACAAAGGGGGCAAGACGAAGAGTTCGGTGAAATCCGGATTTTCTATTTTTTTGTTCATTTCTTTATATCAGCTACAATGGGGACCCAGACTGTGCAGCTATTAAGTGCTGTAGCAATTCTTTAAGGATTATTTTTTTTTTCCGATTTCCGACAGATATAGAGGTGATTCGTACACATACATCTGTCAATGTTGACTGTTCATTAGTTTTTAAAAGTTCTTTCTTTATTTAATGCATTTAGTAATCTCTATGCCAGCAACTCAAACCTCCATTCCTTGATGAGAACTATGAACACAGAATTGACTAAAGTCAGGACCTGGGTAATAAGTAATAAACTGACCTTAAACCTTGAGAAAACCCTCTACACGATCTTTCACAGAAGGAAAAACTTACCCCACGACTTGGACCCCCTGTACCTTGGTAATACAGTCCTCAAACGCGAACAAAATACTAAATTCCTTGGAGTTATTGTTGATGAGAAACTTAACTGGAGAAACCACATACAAGCACCTCCTTTTCCTGAAATCCATAATGGGACGAGGTGGAAGAGGAAGAGGAAGAGGAAGAGGAAGAAGAGGAAGAATAAGAATGAAAAATTTTGATGATGATAGTGATGTTGATGATAGTGATGATGATGATGATGATAGTGATGATAATGATGATGATGATGATCTATCTAGCGAACTCAGTGAATTTAAAATTTCAAAATTAACAAATTAACTCTGAAATATCCCATATATTAGTAATAACAATATTTGTACTGATTCACTGGTCAACAGCCAAAATGGTTCACATATGAGATCATGCTCACACAACTAATTTCATATTGCTGAATTCGAATCTGATATTTGTTTTGTTCTATCAGACCAGGTTTTATAAAAAAATCAATAGGTACAAATATTTGATATTCCATCACGTGTCGTGCAAAAGATGAGATTATCTCATGTGACTGTGCTTTCATGACTAATTTCATATTAATGAATATTAATTGGATGTTTCATTCTACCATCAGACCTACTTTCTTAAAGAATAAAAAAAATAGTAAATATAGTAACATTATTGCGTCATGCAAGATACAATTTTAAACCTATCACAGATAAGCTCATAAAAAATTGCACCAAAAAACATAAGTTCAAATCCTATATAATGACAAAATATGAAGTTCTAAAAGTGCTTCTGAACTTTACTCTTTCTCTTGTACAGCTTGCTCTCTTCTCGTTGCAGTGTCCAGCAATAGTCTCCCATCATGTTAGGACTGAATTGTCCCTGATATCTGCTCTCCATTATGGCGATATCTTGATGAAATCTTTCGCCGTGTTCATCACTAACGTCTCCAAGGTTACCTGGGAAAAATTCAATATGAGAGTGGAAAAAATGCAATTTCAAGGACATCCTTGCTCCCAATGCATGATAATTCTGAAGCATGGTTGTTACGATTTCTTTGTAGTTGTCAGCACGATAGTTTCCAAGAAAATTCTTTGACACATTGACAAATGATTCCCATGCTTTTTTCTCCAGTGGGTTCAATGTTTTGGTGAATTCGCTATCATTAACTAGTATACGAATTTGTGGTCCATTCAAGACACCTGCTTTCAACTTGGCTTTGGAAACCACACCACCTAGTTTCTGAGATAAGTATAGAGTCCCAGCACAGAATTGATCCATAGCTTTGATGAAATTTTTAGCCAAACCGAGCTTTAGATGCAGTGGAGGCAAAAATATCTTTTCTGGATCTACAAGCGGATTGTGAGCACAGTTAAACCTTCCAGGCGCATCTCTTGGTCTTGTCGGCCAATCCTTTCTCACATAGTGCTCTGCATCAGCTCTGCTGTTCCACAAGCACAAAAAGCACATGTGCTTTGTGTAGCCACTCTGAAGGCCCAGTAGTAAACTGATGACTTTGAGATCGCCACATATCTTCCACTGGTGTTTCTCATACTCTATAGCGGCCAACAGAATTTTCATTGTTTCATAGCTCTCAGTCATTTTTGTTGCGTGTGCTATTGGGACAGATGGAAGCTGATTGCCATTGTGTAAAAGAACAGCTTTCAGAGAGTCTTTTCCTGAGTCTATAAACAGCCTGCAATCCTCTGTCTTGTATGTTTCAGACTTGCAGAGTTGTTGCATGAGAGATACTGCGTCCTCGCAATAACAAAGGTTGTTTGCCATCTTGAAAAATGCAGACAGCTGTCTATGTCGGTAACGCGCTGTAGTGATATGCACTCCATCTTCTAGCAGGTTACGCTGCTTTAGTCTGGATCCCAAAACTTCAGCCTTTTCTTTTGACAAGTTTAGGTCACTGATGAGATCATGAAGCGCTTCTTGAGTAAATAGTTTAGGCCTGGTATTTTCAGAGTCATCCTGGTAGTCGTTTTCCATTGAGATAGAGGTAGAATCGGAATCACTCAATTCTTGTTCAGTCGGTGGATTTGGAACTGGAAGTTCAGCACTGTGCGGTACTGGTCGGATTGCAGAAGCAATATTGGGGTACTGTACCTTGCCTCGTGTCTTGATTTTTATTCCCTTAATATTTGTGAGACAGAAGTAGCAGTCACTACTGTGGTCTTTAGGTTCACGCCATATCATTGGTACAGCAAACGGCATTCCTGAACTTCGTTTACCACACATCCACTCGCTCAGGTGGTTAACACAAGACTTACAGGCTACATGAGGTGCCCATTTCTTGTCTTGGTCACCCAAATGACATTTGAAGTAACTTTTGTAGTTCAGTCGAACAGCTTTTGTGATTGGTTTCTTGAGGCTACCAGGAGTGAAGGCACCACATATGTAGCAAAAACTGTCAGCACCGTTCACACACTTGCGACGTTCCATGTTTTGTTAATTTCAGAGTAATTACAAATCATGCAGGTGTAGATATGCAATATCATGAATCAGCAAACAGAAACAAACAAAAAAGCACAAATCAGGACAAAATAATTGCATAAGTGGAGCCAATGAGCATATAAATTACTGTATGAATAGCATGGTACACTAAATATATAGATATGCTGGTTCTGGAAAACTGAGCCTGATACAGCTATACGAATGTCATAATTGAGTTCAGCACATACAATTACACTAGAATCAGACTGTTTTGATCCAGAACCAGGAGAATTTTTTTTTATGTTGACCAGTGTTATATTAGCTATGTTGAATTTACATTGGTCTTTCCTTTATATTATAATAATAATAATAATAATATTTATAATGAAACCAGTGATTAGTAAAAATATAGCAACATGATTGGGATAAATAAAAATATTTATATTTATATATATATATATAGATATATATATATATATATATATATATATATATATATATATATATATATATATATATATATATATATATATATATATATATATATATATATATATATATATATATAATAATTGATTGATTATTAATAATATATTATTAGTACAATAATAACAATTAATTTTCTTTCTTTTCCCTTTAAAAAAAAAAGGTTCAAAGACCAAACTCCTCCTTACCAACAAAGTAATTCTGGAGTTAAGCCCAAGATTTATACTAATTATCGAGTTAATCTATTGGATGATTATATGACCTATTTAATGAAACAAAGTATAATAAAGGGGGTTATTGCCATGGGATTTTCCTCCGATATTTGATACAAGACAGAAATATTATAAGCATGCTTTGTAGACATTTTGCAGTGTGTTCTATGTGTATTTTATTATTAAGTACTTGTCCAATATGTACACAAATGATTCATTGTATTATTAAAGTTATTATGGCATAGTATTCCATGTTAGTAGCCAGCGTTGTAGATATTTTTTTTCTATTTCTTTTTTGTTTTTTTGTAAAAATAAAAAAAAAGATTGAAGGAGGACATTTATTTTACCAACAAAATTTACACTTTTTTATGGATTCCAAAGTGTAAGTTACCAACCAATAATGGATTTATATGGATTTGGTAAGGAGAATAAAAAAATCGATAAACAAACCTTATTCCATCTGGAGAGCTGGCAGGCAGTCGACTAACGTGGCTGTAAAAAAGTTGCCAGATGACACCATTTATTACAAAAACTGACAACTCTGGCTAGTATAAATTACGTTACAGTATAGGTTTTATTCAGTTGGAGGTTGGGGTGTATAAAAACCTACATTTATACTTACATTTTTATTTCAGAAAGCTGAATAATGGAACAATATGAAAAACAAGATTGCAAGAACACTTTTGTCAATTCCCCTTTAATAAATGTGGATGTCGAGACCCTTTCGAGAGCGGTATTATATTTTTCTCCGGGGGAGCATGAAGTAAAATGATTTCAGTGCAATTTGGAAAGCGATACCAGCGCCGCTTTCGACAGTGAAGCTTTTCATAGGGAGAAACAGCCCCAGTGCATATTTTTACGCACTTTAAATCGGTCCAAGACATTCTATAACATTGACAAATTCAGATTTGTAAAGGAACGGCTGGATACGTTCGAAGACTGGCCCCTGCGTTCGTGGATATCTCCCGAAGAAAATTAATTATTCTAATTGTGATAATAATGCTCTTAATAATCAATATATTAATTTAATCTATATATATAAAATATAATTTTTTACCTCTTTAATAAAATCCAGCTCCTTGTTCAGTTGGACAAATTCACACGATGGGGACCAACGGGCATGTACATTCCACGGTGCGTCATTTTCTTCTCAATTGTGAAGACCGATACCACAAAAAAAGCATCGTACCATGTCCGATAAGCCAGTGTAATAAAAACTTGTTTCTGCTAAATCATGGATTGTTGGTCGTCGTCGTATTTCTAGTGGCCACGCCGCCTCCTTCTTTTTAAAACTTTCCAGTCTAGTTTCAAACGTATTATATCTCTCAATTAAAGAGCGACAATGTGGAAAAATTTCCATTCTTCTTATCCAATTTGTCCCTGCAATTAACAATTAGAACGGTAATTATTATTTATTACTTATTATTATTTATTATTATACATAGACACATAAAAGACAGACAGACACACGAGTATAAATTACTTATCATGATGATAATCCTTCTCCGTTTTTGGAATTGGAATTATATGATCTAAAATGCAACTGTGACCCAGGCTAATGTTTCCCGTTGGTTGATTTTTAACGAAGGGACAATGAGAATGATGTCTGTTATATTCTTCAATGGGAAAAACATCCTGATCCCAATTACCTATGATACCCCGGCAGAAAAAAACCAGCGCAGAAGTCTTCCGTTCTGAGGTAATAAAAGCCAGCAGGGGCGAAATCTTCGGGAGATATCCACGACCGCAGGGGCCAGTCTACGAACGTATCTAGCTGTTCCTTTTCAAATCTGAATTTGTGAATGTTATATAATGTCTTGGACCGATTTAAAGTGCATGAAAATATGCACTGGGGCTGTTTCTCCCTATGAAAAGCTTCACTGTCGAAAGCGGCGCTGGTATCGCATTCCAAATTGGACTGAAATCATTTTACTTTATGCTCCCCCGGAGAAAAACAAAATACGGCTTTCGAAAGGGTCTCGACATCCACATTTATTAAAGGGGAATTGACAAAAGTGTTCTTGCAATTTTGTTTTCATACAGACTCAGTCTCGATTGTTCCATTATTCAGCTTTCTGAAACAAAAATGTAAGTATATATGTAGGTTTTTATACACCCCAACCTCTAACTGAATAAAACCTATACTGTAACGTAATTTATACTATCCAGAGTTGTCAAGTTTTTGTAATAAATGGTGTCATCTGGCAACTTTTTTACAGCCATGTCATTCGACTGCCTGCCAGCTCTCTAGATGGAATTAAGTTTGTTTTATCAAATTTGTTTATCCTCCTTACCAAATCCATATTAATCCAATATTGGTTGTTAACTTACACTTTGGAATCCATAAAAAAGTGTAAATTTTGTTGGTAAAATAAATGTCCAACTTCAATTTTTTTTTATTTTTACAAAAACAGAAGAGAAATAGAAAAATCAAATTATCTATAACGCAGCAAACATACTCTACACAATAGAGTATTATATTGAGGAGCAGAGGAAAGAACTGGGGGAGGGGTAGCTGGATTACTATATGATGGATTAGGTTGTGCTGTAAGACTTTCAGAGCAATATGGTGGATTGAGAGGAGATGATGGATTTGGTTGTGGTGGACTGGGTGGTAGTGTAATGCTATTTATTTCAGGGTAAGATGGTGGTGAATTTGGTGGTAGTGTAACCCTATTGATTTCAGGGTAAAATGACGGTGGATTAGGTGGTACTGTAAAACTTTCAGAGTAAGATAGATTGGGTGGTTCTGGTGGTGGTATGATCATATCTAAACTATGGATTTCAGGGAAATGTGGTGAGTATAGATTGGATGGTTGTGGTGGTGGTGTGAACCTAACTAAACTATGGATTCCTTTGCTGCTACTGTAGTTATTAGTAGTGGTTGTGGCTTGTAAAGGAGGAATTGGTTTGTCTATTTGTTCTGTTATCTCGGTCTCCAAAACTGCCTCAATACAATCTTCGATATCATCAAAGGGAACACCTCTCTTTTCGAGTGTTTTATAAAGAGTGCGCCTTACAATATCGGAGGAAAATCCCATGGCGATAACCCCCATTATTATATTCTATTTCATTAAATAGGTCATATCATCATCGTATAGATTTAGTCGATAATTAGTATAAATCTTGGGCTTAACTGCAGAATTACTTTGTTGGTAAGGAAGAATTTGATCTTGAATCTTTTTTTTTTTTAAGGGAAAAGAAAGAAAATTAATTGTTATTATTGTAATAATAATATACTATTAATAATCAATAAATTAATTAATTATATATAAAAATATATATTTTTTTTTTTACCTTTTCAATAAAATCCATCCACATGTTCAGTCACACAATGGGGACCAACAGCCATGTAAATTCCACGGTGCGTCATTTTCTTCCCAGTTGTGAAGACCGATACCACAAAAAAGCATCGTACCATGTCCGATAAGCCAGTGTAATAAAAACCTGTTTCTGCTAAATCATGGATTGTTGGTCGTCTTCGTATTTTCTAGTGGCCACGCCGCCTCCTTCTTTTTAAAACTTTCCAGTCTAGCTTCGAACGTAATATATCTCTCAATTAAAGAGCGACAATGTGGAATAATTCCCATTCTTCTTAGTCAACTTTTCCCTGCAATTAACAATTGGAACGGTAATTATTATTTATTAATTATTATTATTTATTTTTATACATAGACACATAAAAGGCAGACACGAGTATAAATTACTTACCATAATCCTTCTCCGTTTCTGGAATTGGAATTATCTGGTCTAAAATGCAACTCTGACCAGGCTGATGTTTCCCGTTGGTTTATTTCTAACGAAGGGACAATGAGAATAATGTCTGCTATGTTCTTCAATGGGAAAAACATTCTCTTCCCATTTGCCTACGATACCCCGGCAGAAATAACAAGCGCAGTGGTCTTCTTTTCTGCGATAATAAAAGCCGGCATTGGCTAAATCTTCGGGAGATATCCACGACCGCAGGGGCCAGTCTATGAACGTGTAGTGGACGTCTCCCCTACAACTGCCTACAACTGCGTAGCCACGCCACCACCTGTTACCGTCTTCCCTAGCAACCAAGTGTATCCGCATTCCAATGCCCGCCGTATCCTAGCAACCGAGCCAAAAGGCCGGCGACTTCTCGGGTTTTCCCAACATGACTCATAGCGGCTGCTGGGTATATAAGCTCTGTCTCTCCATTGAGAATTCATTCTGACCATTCTTCTTGAACAAGCAACACCTCCTCCTCCGCCGCTGCCTGGCTGCCCTTCGCATCTCCTCCCCTGCCTGGCGGTCCTCGCTCCCGCCAGCGAGCATGGCGACCCACCAGCTGTCCTCTGAGCTTCCTCACCAACCAACTCTCATTCTGCCCATTTTCCTGAACAAGCAACACCTCCTCCAGCAAGCTCCTAGCTGTTAACATTTATTCAACCAGGAGGCCAGCAACAGGCAACATCTTCTCTAACGAAGCTCCTGTACATCTACCTCCTTCAACACGCTACTCACCGAACGTCTTCTACTGAGCAGCTCCCCACCACACGGCATCTCCAGCACCAGACTGTCTATCATATAACTTATATATTATACAAGAAAACCACATTAGAGTTTCCTTCCATCCTGAGTGCTAGACAACATTAATATCTCGATACCCCTACAAACGTATCCAGCCGTTCCTTTTCAAATCAGAATTTGTCAATGTTATAGAATATCTTGGGCCGACTTAAAGTGCGTAAAAATATGCCCTGGGGCTGTTTCTCCCTATGAAAAGCTTCACTGTCAATAACGGCGCTGGTATCGCATTCCAAATTGCACTGAAAACATTTTACTTTATTCTCTCTAGGAGAAAAATAAAGCCTGGCTCTCGAAAGGGTCTCGACATCTACATTTATTAAAGGGGAATTGACAAAAGTGTTCTTGCAATCTTGTTTTTCATATTGTTCCATTATTCAGCTTTCTGAAATAAAAATGTAAGTATTACTGTAGGTTTTTATACACCCCAACCTCCAACTGAATAAAACCTATACTGTAACGTAATTTATACTAACCAGAGTTGTCAGTTTTTGTAATAAATGGTGTCATCTGGCAACGTTTTTACACCCACGTCATTCGACTGCCTGCCAGCTCTCCAGATGGAATAAAGTTTGTTTTATAATTTTCTTTTATCCTCCTTACCAAATCCATATTAATCCAATATTGGTTGGTACCTTATACTTTGGAATCCATAGTGTAAATTTTGTTGGTAAAATAAATGTCCTCCTTCAATCTTTTTTTTTATTTTTACAAAAAAACAAAAAAGAAATAGAAAAAAAAATATCTACAACGCTGGCTACTAACATGGAATACTATGCCATAATAACTTTAATAATACAATGAATCATTTGTGTACATATTGGACAAGTACTTAATAATAAAATACACATAGAACACACAGCAAAATGTCTACAAAGCATGCTTATAATATTTCTGCCTTGTATCAAATATCGGAGGAAAATCCCATGGCAATAATCCCCTTTTTATACTTTTTTTCATTAAATATGGTCACATAATCATCCGATAGATTAACTCGATAAATAGTATAAATCTTGGGCTTAACTCCAGAATTACTTTGTTGGTAAGGAGGAGTTTGGTCTTTGAACCTTAAAAAAAAAAGGGAAAAGAAAGAAAATTAATTGTTATTATTGTAATAATAATATGTTATTAATAATCAATAAATTATTAAATATATATATAAAAATATAATATTTATATTTATCCCAATCATGTTGCTATATTTGTACTAATAACTAGTTTCATTATAAATATTATTATTATTATAATATATAGGAAAGACCAATGTAAATTCAACATAGCTAATATAATATGCGGAATATTTCAGAGTTAATTTATTAGTTAATTTTGAAAGTTTAAATTCACTGAGTTCGCTAGATAGATCATCATCATCATTATCATTATTATCATCATCATCATCATCACTATCATCAACATCATTATCATCATCAACATTTTTCATTCCTCTTCTCCCTCTTCTTCCTCTTCCTCTTCTTCTTCCACCTCGTCCCATTATGGATTTCAGGAAAAGGAGGTGAGTATACAGTATATCGTAGTTATTAGAATAATTTAATCTCGTTCTACAAAACTGCCTCAATACAATCTTAGATATCATCAAAGGGGACACCTCTCTTTTCGAGATAACCCCCTTTATTATACTCTGTTTCATTAAATAGGTCATATCATCATCCAATAGATTTACTCGATAATTAGTATAAATCTTGGGCTTAACTGCAGAATTACTTTGTTGGTTTCATCAGTGCACCGTCACCACAAACTTCGCATTGTCATCAACAGCAGCCGCAATCAACCTTACATCATCTGAAACGAAAAATCCGTCGGTGTATTATAGCAATGTTGAAGTGATTCCAAGTCCCTCAATTTATTTCAGTACTATGGAAATAAATAATAAACGAAAAGATGTAATGAGCGTGATAGAAGCCGTCCTGGCGGACTTTACCTCCGACAATAATTCGTATAGTGTTTTACCCGATGAAACCCAACACCTAAATTCTATGGTGACAGTTCGAGAAAACCAATTGAAAAATAAAGTATATATGGACACTATTATCTCAATTCACTAATAGGCGTATTCATAGAGAAACAAATAATTTTCAACCCTCTCTGAAACTTAGGATTCCACAAATGGGAACTATAAAATAGATGAAAAAGTATATTATTGAGGATAGTTCTCTTAGCGAATTAAACGTTCATCTATTGGAAGTACAGTGTCGTCTTTTTTCGGGAGGTGGACATTATCAAGAAGTAGTTAATAAAGTTTCTAATATAGAATTCGATGATGATATTCATAAAATTATACAGCTAAAGTTAATTGATCAGTTAATTAAAGAATTAAACGACATCCACTGTGAAAATTTAATACATCCCACCAAGTGGAGCGTTTCAATGTACGTAGACCCCCATAGAAAAAAGAAATGTCCTCTCCCATGTAAGGATATCCTCTCTACCAGAGACCCACAATATCAAGACGAATGTCTAATGAGTCGCATTAATTTGGGAGTACACTATTTTCCTTTCATGAAAACCACCACCACCTCCAATAAAGATGTGGAAAAGGAATTGAAAATTATCAATAATACTCCATTGGGTGATTTAGTATTTAAACCCAATGGGAAATCCATATATGGTATAGGATCGAATTTGGTAAATTTCGAATCAGAAACATTTGTGGATACTCAAAGACAAAACAGTTGTCCTGTGAACGCTTTAATTTCATTTGGTTTAAATTGCATTGGAGTTCATGAGGGTAATTTGATATTATATTTGTCCTATTTAAATAGTGCGTATTATTCAGATGTATCTATGGATAATATTTCTTCAGCACCACAGCAAATAAGATAAATACTTAAAACATCAAAAGATATCAGGAGCGCTATAAGTAAGAAGTATGCTGTAACTATTAGTAAAATTCTTATAGAATACAAAGAGGAAAATAATGATTGTTTTTATAAAGGGTTCAAAAGGGAAACTGCTGACCTATGGGAAAGCGAAACGGATGTAGGAATAGATTGTGAATTTGAGAAACAGAAGGAGGATTGGATACAATTAATGAAAGGATAGAGAGAAATGATCATGAAGAGGAAGATAACATAGAATAAGGGTAAGATAACATAGAAGAATAAAAAATGGTATGAAATAGAAAGGTGTGGGAGATTTAATATTATATAAAAATGAATTATGAGAATGACACGTATTTCAAATACTTAAATATTAAAAAAAAAAACTTACATCAATTAAGATTTGTTTTTATATTTTTGATCAGCTAAGACTATTATGTTTTACTATTTCAACAGAAATAAAATTGATGTCAATCTATACTTTGGAGTTTCAAAATGTCGTCCATTCTATAAAAATATATTATCATTAAAATTTTTCCATTATCTAGCAACACATAATATTCCATTTTATGTAGTATCTCATAATAATAATAATAATAATTATAAATAATAATAATATTTATAATAACAATCTTATGACTATTACTAAAGATGCGTATTTTCATTTGATTGCAATAAAATACAAAAGTTTCATTTTAGATATTGAAAATTATTTATTAGAATATTTACAATCACTAAAGTATAAGATATCTATAATAATACAGAGTATGAAGCGTTTTGTAAATATTTTCAATTTATTTTTTAATACTGTAGTGGCACATTAATTGGTCAGCACTAAGGTCCACCCTTCTTTCTAAAAAATTCATGTTTCCGACGTACACGATTTGAATCTTGGATGGAAGCCTTGCGTATATTTTCTGGCATACCAGTTGTCAAAATTTTTTTTTATACCTTTTCCTCCTCCTAATTTAATATGTTCCACTTTCTTTTTCTCTTCTTCCTTCTTCATTTCCTCCTCTTCCTCCTCTTCCTCCTCTTCCTCCTTCTTTCTCCTTTCTTCCTTCTCTTCTTCCTTCTCTTCCTTCTTCTTATCCTTTCATCTTCTTCCTCAATTCTCTTTCTCTTTCATTCTTTCTTCTTTTTCTTTCCTTTTTCAACTGTAACTAGGTTATCTATTCCACGGGATAACTGGTGTGTTTGTTCAGTGGGGAAACGTATCTTAGTTTTCCGAGACACTGAATCTCAGCACATTTAGTGAGACGCTCCTTATGCTCCTCTTCCATTTTCTTGATCTGAACAGGCTCCCTACTGTACGGCTCAATAGTTGAACACAATGTACCTACCCCCCCACAGGTTGATAGGGGTGAATGTGATTACAAGAGATCTCGCAACTATAAATCCTCCAAGCTATGAGAAGGAAAATTACTCATACTTCTTTCGTGTGTGAACATTATTTTATTTTGTTGCTTATGGACTAATAAACGACCTAACATGTGGCAGTGTGTACCTGACTGTGTGAGGAAATAATAAAGGGGAGGGGAATTTTTTATTCTCTTTGTTACTTCCTGACTCACAGCTACTTTATATACACCTCATTCACTCTAATAATTACGTCTAATGTATATTTCTATCAGAAGCTAATTAACATATCGTTTGTTCACCTGGCCTGAATCTACTGGGAGTAAGGTGTAAGTGAGGTAATTACGAAATTATTACTTAATGGCTTAATGGGGTAGTGGTAGATAGGGGAAGGGGGTAAGAGAGGACGGAAAAAAAATGGCACATTAATTATACCATTGCGTGATCTAGGTATATGCTGATAACCACAAGGAAAGAAGAAAACACGAAGTTCCCAAGCGTTTCGTGTAATTCACATCTTCAGGGGTGAGTACAGACTTTTTCCTTGTGGTTTTCAGCATATACCTGGATCACGCGCACCTACAGTGATTTTATTGCATATATATATATATATATATATATATATATATATATATATATATATATATATATATATATATATATATATATATATATATATATATATATATATATATATATATATATATATGTATATACAGTATACACACACACACACATACATACAGTATATATTAGGGTGGTCAAAAAAATTAAGTTCCGATTTCTAAATGTGACACCTTACCAAAATGTTCCTTATATTTAATAAATAATTAAGTAAGAAATTCAGCTGGATCGAAGAATATCTGCAGGTCGCTACCGAGTGTTGAACTTTCACCAATAAATGCAACATGAGGTATTTCCGTCAACATATACATAATTATTGCAAACATATGTTAGCGATATACCACATTAAGGCTAAGAGTTCGTTTAGAACAGATTCGAACGTATATAAAACTCGTCTCATTCGCGGTTCAGTCTGTCAAGGCCATCAGTTGACGTGAGTGACTGATAGCGAGAGCAGGCACAACTGCGGTACGAACTTCGGTTCATAGGATACAGTTTATCAGATTTGATGCAGGCAAGCTGATTATATAACATGTCACTTTAAATTAGAATATAAAATTACTTCTTTATAAAAAGATACTGTAGCTACATCTATTTATGCAAATTAAAATTAGTAACCTACTATATAGTATGTGTTTGTGATACCCATTTGAGTGCCACTTGCCGGTTTATTTTTATGATGCAATAATG